GAGATCATTTGGACCGACGCGCGCAAGGCGAGGAAGGAGAAGGGCAAGGACAACGTTGAGAAGCGGTTGGTCACAAAAACATCGAACCGAACGCAACAGCGCAGCGTTGCATCGAAACGACATCTTCTCCATCGCTCGGGACAAACGCGTGCATGCCGGTAATCGTCATACACACGTGCTACGATACAAGGTTAGTATCTGTTATTGGCCCCTACGTAGGTCTAGTGTGCATGGGTCTAGTGCAGATGTTCTTAACCAGGCTCGCAAGTTTGTTATGTTATGGAACAATGTTCGGCATGAAGCGATCTATCAATTTCTAGAGTGCGCGCGTCAGCCGTACCTGTCGAGGGGTGGCGCTGAGGAATACCAATAGAGCAAACTGTCTAGCGAAGATTACCCACCCAGCCGCCATTTCTTACCCACGAGTCGGTGAAGCCCCCGAGGTGGAGGTCTCCTCCGAGCGTGATGGCGGCGCGGTTGGACCTCGCGAGCTGCCAGCTGTTAAGGAGAGACAGCGCCGCCTTCTGCTCGCTGCAAACCACGGACGAGAGACGGACGTCATCACCGACGGCACGGCAGCAGCAGATCACGCAAGATGAGAAGATGGAGACAAGGAGTAGCAAACCTCACGCCAAAGACAAATCAGAAGTGATATAGCGAGGAGGAAAACGAGTCTAACAGAGCAGCAGAGAACGCTTCACCCCGCAGCCTCTCCAAGTCGCAGTGGCGGTAGGTGAGCCAACGCGCTCACTCGTCAGGAAAAGGAACAAAAAATCTACCTCAAGACGTCCAAGCCAATGGCTGAAACCACAAGACTCACGAGATGAAGTCCTTGTTTCCCCACGTGCCCTTGGCGTCGACGATCACCTTTTCCGCCACTCCCGTCGCCCTGGACGGACAAAGAAACACACGCATGACCACTAGACGCATCGTCGGTTTTACTCGCACTGAGACTGACGTACTTTCATTGGTCGGCCGGTTCGCGCGGTCGATGCTAAATAAGAAAAACACACACACACACACTTCATCACAACACCACACAAGCGTGGTGCACAATACAGGTGTACGCAAGAGAATACGGCAAGGGCCCAAAGGCAAATAAGCGGAAAGACTCGATATCAGCGAAAGTATTTGTTCGCGATTGGCCATCTTGTTCTTTCTCACTCGTGAACACTCTTTCCCGAAGCGAGTGGCACCACGACGCTTTACGTACGAGGAGCGGGCGATAAAAAATTGAACCGTCGAAAGAGAGAAGAAAAAGGAGGCGATCATGTGCGTGTAGAACCAGGCACAAAAAGGCTTTTCTATTCCGCAGACATCGCGATACTCGCGTCGGCGGGACAACTCGCCACGTTGAAATCAAACATTTTCCTGATTCGTGTTTACTAACGACTGGCTGATGAAGACGAGGGGGGTCGGTGTGCCGAAAAAGACCGTCTGGCACTCGGCGAAGTCGGCGCTGAAGGCCGCCTTTAGTCGGTCCCACTGGTCCGGCCCCATGAACTCGCGGTCCACCCACTCCGCGTCGGGCCGATCTTGCCTATTATTACATTAACGCGGGCGGGATAGAAACAAGGTTTTCACGCGGGAAATGACGGTGGGGCAGCATGCGCGTTTAGCTTCGATGGCGCGTGTGCATAGCGGGATAGTTAATGGCTGGGCTGACACTGTCCCTTGCATAGGAGTATGTCTCGTTCCGGGCAGGCGCATGGCTCCAATGCGACCGACGAGACAGCAGTAACACCGTATCGCCACCGGCATCGACGACGGCAATAGCAACTCACCGGTCAAGCGTGCGCTCAATTCTGTTGTCCGTCATGAAGAAGCCGACCTTGGGGCTGAGCTTCCAAGCGTAGAACGGCTTCACGCGCGTGTCTTGCACTGCCGATCGAGCGACAAGGCACGACGAACAAACGTCACTCATACGCAAAAGAGACTGACAACGCTACCGTTTACCACCGACCAGCACAAACTGTGGCGCACACACGGTAGATTGTTGCACGTGGTCGGAATGTCGCACAGGATACAGCGGCGGCAGCGAACGGAGGGCGGTGTTTGGCGGGAAGCATCTACAGTTCCGAACCTTGCTTGCGATAACGATGCTTCGATCGTCCTCCGTAGATCGCCACCACTCCTTTTGGGCGTGGAGCCGGGAGTACATGTACCAGGCAACAGTCGTGCGAGAAAGAGTTTCGTTCCGCCCGCTCTAGCATGCACATGCAGTGAATAAACGGCATTGCTGCCGGTGATTGTCGAGATACCACTCCATGTGTCCAGTCAAAACGCTTAAGCCCACGAGACGCCTCTCCTTATCTTGGTGTTCGATGTGGTTGTAGGGGCAGAATGGAAACGCCATTTTCTAAGCTATCGCACGAAACATGTTACGAACACCCCCCTCTCCCGCCTAAAAGGCATACGACACCGTGTGGAGAAATTGGTTGTGGAAACAACTGTCCAAATACGGGATCAAGGGGAAAATGTGGAGAGTGCTGAAGAAGATGACAGAGTGTACGAAAAGCGCGGTCATGCTAGACGGAGAACTGTCCAAATTCTTCGACATTGAGCAGGGGGTCCCACAAGGTTGCACGCTGTCCCCAACATTGTTCCAGGTGTTCATCAACGATCTGTTGGAAGTCGTAGAGGCAGTCCGGAAGGGAGTAAAAGTA